CTTCATAAAATGGTTTTAAGATCTGGAAGTGAATAGATTTATGGATTTTGTTTGTGTGAATCTTGTTTGTTCTCGCAATGAACTAATTCCTGTGTTTCACAATCACAGCACCCCAGAGCACCGAGTGCACAATACTGCTGGCAACCTCAGTCTGTTTCTGAAACCAAATACAAGACCGCCCCAGGAGATGTCAGTGACAGCAAAAAATATATTTATCCATGTGTGGACTTGTCTGATTCAAATATAGATTTTCTCAAAACTAACAAACTTCCAGTTCACCAGAAACGTTATCGTAATGAAGAGGTTAACAGCAAATGAGAAATATTTTAACAAACAAGGAAAACTTGTCCTGTGACACCTCATGACACAGCAATCTGACCCCCTTAGTTCCATTTTTTTTCATTATGAAAGTACACTGTGTGTGTTTCTTTCTTTCTCTGAAGTAAGTAAGGATTAAAAGCTGCTAAGGCATGGTGTGTTGAAGGCCACCTCGCTGATTTATGTTGGCACATGGCTGAAAGAGGTCAGGGTGTGGTGGGGGTGGGTGAGCTCACTGGTTTGATTTTTTGGTATTAGCGAGACACTGTTCTAGATTCATGCACATACACTGCTGTGAAAAAAGCTGGGGTATATGTTCAGGGACGGGCAGGAGCTGAGCTAACTGAATTGTTTGGATCTGAACGTATACTGATGTACACTGTTGCCCAAAAAGTTGGAATAATGGAGTTTTCAGACACATTCCTCTTTTTATTCCTATTTACACAAACAATCATTTCATGAGCAGAGGTATACAAAATATGTTATTCCAACTTTATGGGCAACCGTGTATAATGTATAATGATTAGGTAACTAAAAAAGTTGTAGGTTGACAAAAGAAAAATTGGCAATCATTTCGATAATGTATCAATTCTAAAAGTAATTGATAACAAATAAACAGGTTATCAGCTGTTTTAAAGTATTTTTTAAGTCAACTTAAAAAATGATGAGGTCTACTTGTTGGATTAACGGTTTAGAGCCCTGCAAACACACTGCTGTGTAAACAAAGCAAAACAACAATCAGGGGTTCAATGTTCGGAGATAAAACCTTCAGAGCAGTTTTCTTTGCAGATGTCTAGACATCCAGTGTCTTGCAGATATTCTGACAGGTGCTCAACAGGTGTCTTTATTGGGGTGAGGTTAGAATGTGAGCATAGAAGGTTTGTGTAAAGTGGCAGCATGCAGCCTAATGTAGTTGGACTGAGAACCAGGCTGGGATGTGAATAGTGAGCAGCCTGATTCACTAGTGAGTGAACACACACACACACACACACACACACACACACACACACACACACACACACACACACACACACACACACACGCACACACACACTCACTAACAAACACTGTTCCTTTCAGCTCTGGTTGATGTGTCATTATCTGGTGATTAACAGTCACTTTATATAAAAGGTAAATATATTACACTCTAATTCTTGACTAAAGTGACTAAATAATTGTGCATCACTGAGGTGATAGCACAGGAGAAAACCTTTCATACAAAATATATTCACATACTCACATACATTCTTATAGTGTTTTTATCCCAGCTATAGCGCAGTGAGCTTTGAAGCAACAGAATGGACCTCAAAAAGTTTGGATTTTCTTACCGAGCCTCCTGATGGGGTCTATTGGCTTCTCAGCCCCTTTCTTCCTCTGCTCTTTCGGACTGCTGGTCGCTGACTTACCGCTGCCTAACATTATCACAACTCCAGCGAAAAATAACCGGAGGGTACAACTTTAATACTCGCAGCTGGCCCGTTAACTCTGGGAAATAGTAAGTGCAGGTGTTTCCCGCAAGCGCAGATTTCTGCTGTCCCAGAAAAGCGTCCGAGCAGAGAGAGAGAGCCGAGCGCAACAGTTATCCGTTTCCCACATGTTTCAAGTCCCTCCCCGGCGCTGCTGTCCATGCAGGCTGTGCGTAATATGATTCCAAACAAGGCGCACACTTTACGCACTCCCACCTCCTTCTGGGGCAGAGCAAATACTTAGGACATGAAAATGTTTCCTATTCAATTATTTGCACTCAATCCCTAAGAGTGCAGCGCCCCCTGCTGGTCGTTGCAGGAAACGGCAAACATCTCAACAACAAATCAATAATTTTAACGTCAAATTCCTCTTCTACCAGCTAAATCTACATTTATCCATACGGTAATGTGCTGTAAAATAGGAATCAAACTAAGAATGAACTCTTATTTGTAAGTGGATGGAGATGGGCCCACAGCACCCGAGCAGTGGCTGGAAACTTAATAAAGTCTTGTAATGGAGTTATAAAGGAGATCAGAGAGACACAGAGCTCAGCTGGGCGGTCTAAAACTCGTCCTGTCAGGACGAGCATGACATGTGACTTTGCCCTGATCCACAGCCATCCACAAAATAACACACATACATAAACAAGCAGGTTGTGTGGGGTTGGAGGGAGTCTCTTAAAGTGACATGTTTATTTCAATAAGTAATTGAATGCAGCTTGTGTATCCAGTGTGTCTGTATTTGTCACACTAGAAGTAAACTAAATCTGTCTTCATAAAAATCTTAAAATCATAGCCCCCTGTGCTCAGATATATATCAGCCATTGTTTTAATTTAGACTTCAAAGCCATCCGTGGGCCTAAAACAATTTATATCTTTCATCTCTCAATTGCAGCAACAACCATGTTAGACAGAGAGATTAAGTCATGCTTGCTAATCCTCACAGGCTTTGGTCTATGCAGGAGCACCAATGGCTCTAAAGCTGCACAATGCTCCTTGATTTAAAAAAACAAAAACATGATAATTTAGTATGATTTCCTAATCCCCACAGTCGTTAGGCTTCATATTGACTGGAACATAGGCTATCAAGTCTTCCTGAAAGGATTCCCAGTTCAGCTTGCTTATTTGCCAGAGCTGAAACCCTGCCTGATTCTATTAGTAGAAACAGTAGGCCTGTGTTGTTTGCAGCCATTGGATTCTAAGTCATTACAATCTGTGTTAGGAGACCCACCATAAGGGGTCACAGACGAAAAAAAACATTTTCTTCCATTTATAGCCTAAAAGTTAGGCTAAGAAACTATATGTGTGTGCAGGATATAGTTAGTGACAAATGCAGCGAAATATTAAGTTAGTGGACTGACCATAGATAAATACATAAAATAGGCTACATATACCACAAGGTTGCCATACAAAATAAATTCAAACAGTAATTCATTTCAGGTTTTATTTTATTTTACACAGAACAACAAAGGTTATAAAGAAAAGTTGTTGAAAATGTATGATTCAATTGTTAGTTGTGTGTAAATCACAACCAGGGCTTGCTAAATTTGAAACTAAAGGAAAGCTTCAGGGCTGCCTTGCAAGATCTGGGGGCCGTCTACTTCCTGAAGCTAAACTAGTTCATCGAGGGTTCCAGTTCACGGATTATAAGGAACAAATGCTGTTTTTTCATTTGAACTTTTCTTTTGAGTCTGGAGTATATATTAATCTGACAGAATGGCATAATTAAAATGTTGAAATCAATCGTAATCCTGTAGTAAGGAACCCTCACGGGATACATTACGTTCCAGCAATTACGCTGACCCAGGATAAACACATTGGCCTAGTTAGCAGATAGCTAACGTTAGCAACTTCTATAGCTGGTTGTATTGGTATTTATATACTTTGTTGCGTACTCGCTAAAGCTTAATCGAAAAAAATTGATGGTAGGAACCATTGTTTTAAGGTTGTCGATCCATTGTTGCTTATTACTTAGCATTAGCTAGCCTGGCTTTATGTACATTATGGCGTTTGGGTTAACGTAGCACTGGCCCTGGCTAGAAATAACTTGCGTTGTAACGTCGTCGAGCTCTAACACCGTTTATTTTTTTGTTCTAACGTTAGTGCGTATGGCTTCACACTTTATAATTATGGCAGTGTTTAGTTTGGGAACGAAACAACGCAGCTATAATTTGCTAACTAACGTTAACATTCGGCTAACGTTAGCTAGCTAGCTAGCTTATCCTTAGCTTTTAACACGACACACCAGTGTAAAACTAACACTGCATATCAGAAACATGGGTGGGTTGCACAGGAAAACTCAAAACTGATCTACACAACTCCGTCCACTGGTAACAGGATTATTGAGCAAGAGTTAGATCGCCTGACCCACCCTTTAACAATGAGGGGCTCGGAGATGTACTCGGAGCAGAAGCTTGACAATAAATGTCGTTTGTTTACGCTGATTCCCGAGTTCGCCGAGACTGTGCCCCACAACGTATCACTCCGCACAACACACAGAATTGTCATAATGAATCATTTAATGCTCTAATGTCATCAAAACGACGCGTTTCAATACATTTAAACATGAAAAATACTTGCATTTTCAACACAAGTTGTTTTTTTACTTATTTCCTTGTGTGAACATTTAACACGGACTAGTTTCCCTAAGCGGGGTTCTTTATTTTGCTTTAAATGCAGGAGGGTTTTTATTTCATTTCTAATTCGGCTTTATACTGTGTGGGCAGCAAGGACATATAATAAATATGTAGTTACGTCTAACGTATTCTAATTAGACCAAGCGACTAAAACATGTAATTTAAACTTATTTAAATTAACTTATATGTTATTACTAAGTATTGTTACCCCCTTAATGTGTAGATGGTACCGTCCTTAAAATGTACCGGACTGCTTTCTTGGTGTGGATTACGTACTTATGATTGACCCATGGATTGTCGAATCAAAAAATACTTAAAGCTTAGCAACAGCAAAGTTACCCTCTTGTCCAATCAACAAAGAGAAGGGTGGGCTTTATCATGCTCAAGAGTCTACCGTATGATTGGTTAAAATCCTCGTCAGTTATCGTAGACTTGTGGAATATGTAGTTTGGTTTGTGGGCCTCCGACAGTGCTACATTGAATTCAAAACAACATATCCCACAATCCAACGCGCGTTACAAACAGCTGCATGCGCACGGCAAGAGGCGGAGCTGCTATAAAAACACGAGCTCCCTCTTCTTGAGCAGCACACTGGACACTGTTGTGACGGTGAAACGTCGTCTCCCGCTGAAAGATAGCCCTGACAGCATCGAAACAGTTAATGGTAGTTAGCGACAGTTGCTCTGACAAACCCTCGGAGGAGTAACAAGTGTTTACTGTCGAGAAGTTTCCTTTAATTTTGCGAGAGTTTGTTTTGAAACGTCAAAACGTAAACTTCCTTTATTAATGATTTTTGGGTGATTCTGGAATACATACATTTTTGTTAAAATTTAGTTTAACGTCTTTTAACGAACTTTGAAGATCATTTTTGAGGGAGAGGACATGATCTAAAATGTGCTAGAGTGGGACCATCGTAGCGGAACATCAGGATGACAGATCGAGCGGAGCAGACCCATCACCTGAAAACTTTAGGCAGCCCATCAGGTGGGAGCAGCGGAGACGCGTTGGAGCATCTCCCAGCCAGAAGCCGTGGTGGACCAGAGAACGGCAACAGGGGGCGACAGAGAGACCAAAAGCAGCGGCAGCGGGCGGAGAAGTGTGGGGATATCAACACAGACAAGTTGTGGCAAATGAAAGGCGGACCGAGGGAGGTGTGCCCTGCCTCAGCTGCCGGAAACGAGCTCTCAAAGTGCCCGATTGCTGCCCAGTCTCATCAGAAACCCGATGTTCATGCAGCGGGTGACGGTAATCACATCGCGCAGGGGAAAAACGGCGAAGATAGCCCACTGGGAGAGACTTTAAACCAGGTGCAAGATGATAGTCATATCGACTCTGACACTGGCTTGGATGCGCGTCTGGGCAAGAAGAGGCACAGGCGCAGGACCTCCAGGAAGAAGCGCAACTGGAAGCCTTATTACAAACTTAACTGGGACGAAAGGAAAGCCCTGGAGGAGAAAGAGACGGCCAGAGCTTCTCGGTTGAGAGAGGAGATGTTCGCCAAAGGGCTCCCAGTGGCCCCTTATAACACCACCCAGTTCCTGATGGACGAGCATGACCGAGAGGAGCCCGACCTCAACACCGAGACCGGGGTCAGACGGACCTCAGGGGTCGGGACCCGCATGGAGGACACGGGCAGCGAGGAGGACTTATTTGATAACGAGGAGGAGGACGAAGATGACGGCAGCGGGGGAGGCAGCGACGGTATCGGGAGACCTGGAAACGCAGGTGGAGAGTTTCTCCAGAGAGACTTTTCTGAGACCTACGAGATGTACCACGTCGAGAGCCTGCAGAATATGACCAAGCAGGAGCTGGTGCAGGAGTACCTGGAGCTGGAGAAGTGCATGTCCCGGCTGGAGGAGGAGAACAACCGGCTGCGGCGCGCCGTGGAGCCCGCGGGCCCTGCCGGGGAGAGCCCCCTGGTCCGGCTGGGAGACATGGAGAAGGAGCTGGAGAGACTGAGGGCCCAAAACATGGAGCTCCTTCAGAGCCAGCCCAGCAATGACAGGGTCGCTACAAAGTAATGGACACAATTGAAGTGGGGAAAACCCCCCCTCAAAAAGGTAACATATGGGACTGCTGATTTTTTTTTTGTCATCAGTTTTCTGTAATCAGTTTGTCATTTGGAAGACGTGTCCTTGCATTGTAATGCAATACTTTATTTTCTGTTTGGTCCTGTTCAAATGTTGTTTTCCAAAAATAAATGTAAATATTTCAAAATAAGATTCTTTTTATAAAGGGAATGTATCTGACAATACGAGAATATGTGTGTTTGTTTCCTGGGTCAACTCTGTAGCTGTCCATTGACATAAACTGTTCCGTTTCTGAAGTAAAAAAAACATCCTTTGTTGCATTCACCTCCAAAACATGAATACCAAATGACAGCTTATTGGGTCAGCTCGCCGATAATGTTTTGCAAAAATAAATTCCGGAGTTAATATTTCTAACATTTGTGTGTTAACATAAGTTCAATAAAACCGTGAAATGTCTTTTGTTGTGTTGTAAAGGCTGCTCTAAAACACAGGAAGTGGTTCAAAGCGGCAGTGTGCAAAGATACTTGCCTTTGTCAGCAAAACCAATAATCATAAAGCTTTCCTTAAAGGATCCTGAAATGTGCCAGGCAGATATGGGCCTTGAAGAGAATAATGCACGGACATATGGGGGGATGGGATATGATGGAGATGCTCTTTATGAAGGTTAACCCACTCTGAGTTTAATCCAGTGAGGATGTTCTGCTAAATGAAATGCATAAATGTTTTTTTTGCAACACAAGAGAAATATAAAAGCTTAATGTTGCAAATTGTGTTTATAGCTTTATATATATTTAACTATCGAGTGTCAATAGATTCCTAGTATCACTAATTTGAACAGATTGTATACATATTAACCTATGAATAAGTTAAAATGCAGAGCCCCAGTAGTTTGGATGAAGTTTCTTTCTTGTGCAGAGGGAATCTGTGCCATTTGGCCTGGAGAGACGTTTCTAACTGCAGCCTCCAGAGGGCGGCATTCAGCTGCTATATTAAGTTGCTGCTGCTGCTGCTAAACATGAGCCTCACTCCCTGGGCTAGTGTTACAAAATCCTTAAAAACAAATACACATGTGAACATTTTTCTTTAAACATAGTTCTGTTTATTTACATCATATAACCTTGCTTTAAAGCACACAGCCATGAGGGAAATGGTTTCAGGCGGACAACCTTTTTAAGTCCAGTCATTTTCATATTAGTTATACTCAAAAAGCAATTCCAAATGTACACAATACAATATGTTACATATTAAGATAGTATGTACAAAAACGATTTTTAAAATACAACAATGAGACATTAGATAAAAATCACAACACACTGACTTGTTGAGTTTTCTTGGGCTGTTGGGTTATCTGTAAGAAATTGTTGTCTGACATGAGCTAATGCCGGTTCAGGGTAGGGCTTTTAAGGTGTACCATATTCACACACTGTGGATCAACTAGGAAGAGAGGTAGGACCAGGACGAGGTCTGTTAAAAAAGCAGCTGAGAGAGAACTATGCATCTTCCCTCTTTGCAGCAGTGGTGATAGCTGTTAATGCCTGTGTTAAAGGCAAAGAGAGTACATAGACATGTCCTTGGCTTGACGTGTGCTTTTTAATTATTTCATTTTAAATAACAGCCTCACAATTAGACCCCTTGTATTAAATGTACACATCTTTGGGTCAGTGCCTTTTCTTATACCATCAACCACAGGAGAGGAGGGCGGAGACCCAGGAACGAACCAAAGGAAACGGAAAGATAAGAACAGACCATGGCACTGCAGAACAAAAACACATTCCAGAAATCAGGCACTTTGTAGAAAAAATCTTGAGGTAAGACAAGACTATAACTCATCATTTATTATTATTATTATTTCTCACTGGGTTATTTGGTCAGATGAAAGCGAGTCCCATGACTTTGGAAGTTGCGCCTCCTGTTTGAATGGGAAATGGAGATGACAGATGAAAACAATAGATTCATTCTGTACTCCTTTTCCTCAAATGTACCATTTCCCCAGTCAGGGAGGATTTATTAGAGCCTGACCTTATGGAAGACTCCTCCTCATGTAACCCCAAGGTAATACACCTGCAGAGAGATGAACCCTCGGAGGGTATGTGGTGAGAAACACAAAGATCACCATTAACAGAGGTGAAAATGTAGCGACTTGTATGTCCTACACAATATTTCCAAAGCCTGCTCAACAGCCCGAAGCTTCTCTTTAACAAGAAAGAACGTTCTTTGTCTTGAGCTCAGCAAATATGAGCAGATCTGAAGAGGCAATGCTCAGAAATCCCAGACATACAGAACAGAAACAATTAGGTCAGCTATCAAAGTGTAGCTGCCTTCAAATGATATTGTAATAATGACCAGATTTCTATTTGCTACATGTAGATAGTTTGAGTACATGTTGATGCAACATTGTTGGAAGTATAGTCACCAGAGAACTTTATTTATAAGACTTTATCTTATAATATAAAGGTTTGCTGCACAGTGCTGAGAATCAGAGAGAAAGGCCATCTTTGAGGAAATAAGGAACAGGTTTATCTTATTTCCTGTGAACAGGTACACCCAAGAGGTGAAATCACAATAAACATACTTTTTTTAAACTTTAATACAAAATATATATAATATATATATTGAATATAAAAAAAAGAATATATTAAGGGAAACATTTCAAGTAACATCTTGAAAGAAATGACTGTGCACTTTTTTAGCACTTTTGTAAACCATAAAAAAGGAACTAAAAAAAACAAATATGATAACATAATATTTATATTTACAAGGTTAACTTAACAAGGCTTTGTACAAATGTTACAAAATTGTTCAACACAAACACCTGCACGCTCAGATATGAACACATAAACAGTATTAACAAGCAAAGAGACACGAGTGTGTTTGTGTCCGACTGTGTCTGTTGTTTGGAATTTAAATGTCTTACAGTGTCCGTGGTCTGAGGAGAGACAAAATACAAAAACTGATATAAAAAAATCTTCCCTCTTGAAATGCTTTTTAAACAACCAATTACCTTTTCTGTAATTAGAGGTGTGAGGCTGTCTCGTATGGCTCACTGAAGTCGGTTCAGAGAAGATTTTGTAACAGTTACTGTTAAACCCTTCTTTGACCAGAAGCATCATTTTCTAACCAGTGGGACGTTGCATTTTCAGCGTCCACTTGGATTTGAATGAATGTATGTCTTTTTAGAAGTACGCTAGAGGAGAGGGGAAGGATGACTGGTCATTACTAGTATGGGAATTCTTGGCTGTGACAGTGATTATGGTGAGGTCTGTTTCCGTGTTATTTCTATAAAAGCACACACATGGAAAGAAAAGCTTTGGCAACACTGGAATGCCCCTTGCCATGCACATGGAGCTAATGGAAAAGAGAAAGGTGGGCTGCTCTTCATTGGTACACTGTGTTGCACCTGGCAATTAACCACAACCGTGTTGACGCTGCTGCCGGCCTACTGACCTGCAGTCAGCGGCTCGGCTAGAGGGGCTCACAGGTACTGGTGGAATCTGGAGGTGGGGGCTTGACGTGTAGCCGGTTCTTGTTCAAGCCCCTCTGCGTCCCGAGGCAGCCCCAGTGTTTTCACCTGGTTCTGAGTTATGGGGGACAGGGGGAAGTCACTGACGGTCAGCGGGGGTCTCTTCTCAGAGATCTCTGTTGGGGAGGCCACCACCGTGTGTCTGCGCCAGGCCCTCCTCTTCCTCCTGGTCTCTGGTGAAAGTGGTTTCCTCAGTCCCACGCTGCGCAGGTCGTCGGCCGAGCCCAGCAGGCGGGCGCGGACCTGATCCGCCAGAGACCTGCCCCCAGCGCCGGTGGGGGTGAAGGAGGAGGCCTCGCTGGGGGGCAGGGAGGGTTTGAGCCGGGCCGGGTGCAGGCTCTCCTGACTGCTGCCGGAGGAGGGGTTAGTTCTGGAGGTCTCTCTCCTCGCTCTGGACGTACCATCTGACCCAGAGCCAGCAGCGTGGGCCTCGGCCGTGGCGGCCTGCAGCTCCAGCAGGTCCAGGGACCGGGCCTTCCCCTTCTCAGACTTCAGCTTCTTCCTGGCCAGGGTGTCGCACTGGATCAGCTTGTGGGAGTTGAAGGAAGGCCGCGAGTGCAGTCTGTGAGTGGTGGTGGAGGAGGAGGAGAAGGAGGAGGACGAAGGTGTGGTGGACCGCGCCCCTCCCTCACTCCTGTCTGCAGAGTCTGGCGTGTGTGTGAGCGCTGTGGGCGGGGCCAGCAGGTTTGTGGGTGAGAGGGCAGGGGCCTTGTAGTGGGTGTAGAGGAAGCTGCGGGGGGCCGCCTGCGTGTTCACGGGTGGTGTCGGGTGTTTCTCCGGTCTCTCCTGGGTGAGGGAGCGCGAGGCGAAGCCGCTCTCGTTGTCCGTCTCGCTCACCAGCTCGCTGTGCTCGTCATCAGCATCGCCCCCCCTCCCCTCGGACCCCAGGCTCCGCCCCAACGTGGAGAGGGTGGAGTAACCGGAAACAATAGAGCGAGCGTCCTCTGGAGCTCTCCACGGCGGCCCCTTCACCTCCACCCGCACCTCCTCCTCCTCCTCTTGCAGCAACGTGGCTGCCGGCCTTCCTCCTGCCTCCTCTTCCTCTGTACTGCACGTCCGACCGGGATCAACCGTCACCACCTGCTCTCCTACCACCTCTTTCACTCCGCTTTCTACAACTTCCTGGTCTTCCTCTTCTTCATCTTCCTCTTCATCGTCGTCCTCCTCTCCCTCTGCTCGAGGCGCAGTGTCTCCTTCCGGCAAGCGCGCCCCCTCTTCCCCCCCCGCCACTAAATGTCCGGCTTTGATTGGCTCGTGCTCCGAGTCGTCGTCAGTGCTGCTGCCCACACGGCGGGCGTTATGGCGCTTCCTGCGTTTGCGGCCCGTGACAGCTGACATGATGGACAGAGCCAGGAAGTCCTTGGATGTGATGTCTTTCTTTGACCCCCACGACCCCTGAAAAAAAAAAAAAAAGGTTACTGTGACACGTTGATACATAACACTACATTTTCTCAATACTGGTATATGCTTAACTACTATGGCATCAATGGGAAGGCAATACAAATAAATACAATATAATCATACTTATTATATTAATGATCACTTATGTGTATTTCAACATTAAAAAAAGACTTATTTTCATGTAGGTTTCATTTTTGCAGGATCTAACTTTTCAGCGTAACATAATGTAAAAGACATTACCTTTGATTTCGCTGAGTCACTGTTGGTTGAGTCTGGGGACGAAATAAAAATAGGTCAGAACCATTGAAGTTTACTAAAGGCAAATCATGGAGGAGGGCACAGAGGCAGGTGGTGCATAGAATAAATCACAAATCAAAGGGAACTGCTTCTGCACGATTTAATTGTTGATGTGGCAGCAGGTGTTTTCCATCAGCTGTTAATAGGAGAGCACCTGCTGTGACATCAGAGCATGCTTGCAAGTCTCAGTATTTTTTTTCCCTTCCCTGATTGCAAGAAAATATAAATGAAAAGATGA